CATAAAAGAATTTTATCAATAAATTTTTAAATAATTGAATTTTTTTGACAAATTTTAATAAAGGAATTCGAGGAATTCGATTAAAATATATTTAAAATAATTGAAATCTTTTGAAGAACTTTATTATTAATGAAACTAATCAAATTCTTGCAACGAAATAATTGAATTCTTATGTGAAATTTTTATTATTTTATAAAAATGATTAAATATTTGCGTAGAATTTTATCAGAATTTTTTTTAAACAATTGATTTCTTTAGGAAAATTTTATTAAAATAGTAGATATTGAAAACGATTGAATTGAGGAAAATTTTTAAAAAATAATTGAATTTCGGGAATAATTTTATTATTTATAAAGAAAATTGAAATTTTGATGAGAATTTTTAAAAATTTTTGAACATAATTGAATTTCTGCGAAGAATTTTATTACTTTTGAAAATAATTGAATTTTTGTACTTAATCAGTTTTAACTTCTTAAAAATTCAATACTTGAAATCCTATATATGATGAGTTTTATTATTTATGAAAATAATTGAATTCTTGCCAAGAATTTTATTACATTTTTTAAAAATAATTGAAGTCTTGCAAAGAGTTTTATTATTTTTAATTATGAAAATAATTGAATTCCTAAAAAGAATTTTATTATTTTATGAAAATAATGAAATTATTGGGGAGAATTTTTAAAAATAATTGAAATTTTGTAAAGAATTTTATTAAAATTTTTGAAAATAATTAAATTTTGGAAGAGAATTTTATTATTTATAAACATAATTGAAATTTTGCCGAAAATTTATAATATTTTTGAAAATAATTGAATTGTGGAGAAGAATTTTATTATTTACAAAGATAATTTAACTTTTGACGAGAATTTAAAAAAATTTTTGAAAATAATTGAATTTCAGAGAAGAATTTTATTATTATTTATTTATAAAGATAATTGAAAGTTTGACGAGAATTTAAAAAAAATTTTTAATATAATTGAATTTTTAAAATAAGTTTTTAATACAAAAATGTTTAAAACAAATTTTTTAAAAATGTAGGTACTTTCAAATATGAAAAGAATTTAAAGTATTTAAAAAAAAAATGTCTATAGTTTTTCAACAAATTATTATTTTCCGATGGATATAAATATTTAAGAATATTTCAAATAGAAAGCCCGCTTTTTCAAAAGTTCAGAAACCTTTATATTATTTTATTTTTTTTAAAAACATAATTTATTAAAAAGCATAAATTAATTCATATATCGTATTTAAAAACTTATTAAATTCTGTCTCAAATGACTCATTGATCGTTTCATTTTACTCTTCTTGACACATTCTAAACAGGCCGCGCGATAAATGATTTAATAGCTATGTATTGTAATTAAAAAATTCTTTTAATTCATTAACTCGTTGAATACTTTTCAAACTTGGAATTTCTTTCTAATACGCATAGAATATCGTAATTATTTTTCAATATATTTCAAAACTTTTATAAAAATTTTAAATTGTAAAATAAAACGATTGTTGTATAAAAATGAAACGTATGTGTCGAAATTAATTCGCAAATAAGGAATGTGTAGAAAAATGTAAAGAATGCGTGAACTTGAGTTTCGTAATCTGGTAATTTTTTTCAATTTGTCTGATTTAACAGAAAGTTGGAAATAATTCTAAATAGTGTTTCGCAATATTGGCAAATGTTTGTAACAATTTTATATCAACTTCTGTTAACAATGCTGGGACAACATCTTCATGTAAACAATTACCGTACGACTTTAGCCTTATCAAACTTGATAATATAAAGATAGCGTTCCGCATTCCACGCTGACTAGAATGATAACACATGACCTTTCGATAAGTCAATTAGTTTCTCCATCCTGCGTGCATATTTCTATTTTAGTTCCACGATATTTAAATTTTACAGAACAGAATGATAATTACATTCTTTTGTGATGCACTTGCGTTAATTTCCATCATAGTTCACAATTTTTCATTAGAAGCAAAAGTTAATAAAATTTTTGTCACACAGTAGCATACTTTTACTTTTGATTCAGGGTTACCACAAAAAATTAATTTTGTTTATCCCTGATTTCCAGACAAAATTTTAATTTTTTCTCTGGGCCTAAAGAATATTCTGATATTTACTCTAAAAATTATTAAATACTCAAAAAACATTTTTATTTATTTACAAATTTTCTCAATTGTAAAATTATTCAAAAACATCAATAACTTAATTTTAAAATAAATATTTAATTATCACTTTTTAGGAATTAAATTTTTTTTTCAATTTCAAATTCAAACCTTTATGAAATTCAACAACTTGTAAGAATATTATTATAAAACATGAAAAATTCAGTCAAAAATGGTTCCTTCGATTAATAAAATAGTTAACTATTATCCCCCCTCTTCAGTTCTCTTAAAAACGAAATTATAGTCCATTTTTGTCGAAATATAAATTTTTACTCCACTCCTCCTAAAGTCGATTGAGAGTTGCTGTCGAGTTGTGGCTTCTCAGGAAAATAAGAGACCTTGAGATTTTAGCGGTTCATGGACCATATGGCGAAAAGATGGTCTAGACTAGACGAGAAAGGAAAGGACTTGCCCTGGAATTTGGCAAGTCCCTTTGGAATGCGCAGTTTTTCCCGAGGGTCAGTCGAGGCAATTGTCCTCCAGGGACCAACGGGAATAGACCTTCTTTTTATTTTACCGATTTCACCCGAGAAGGCAGCTTTGTAAATTATTAAATGCTTACGTTTAAATCCAGTACACACATCATTTGATAAATTCGATTTATCTTATTTTATTTCTTATTTCAACCGCTCATTTTTTATTGCCGGCCGAAAGAAATAAAATAAGATAATTTCAATTTATCAAACAATTTATTCCGAACTATGTAAAAAAGGATTAAAGAAATAACTCTTGAAACTTGGAAATAAAAATAAAGAATAGAAATTCGTTAAATAGATTCAATAAATTTCAGACTCTATTATTTTAATAAAATTTTCCAAAAGAATTCAATTCTCGTCAAAATTTCAATTATCTTTATAAATAATAAAATTCTTTTCCGAAATTTAATTATTTTCAAAAATTTTAATAAAATTCTTTACAAAATTTTAATTATTTTTAAAAATTCTCCTCAATTCAATGATTTTCAATATTTAATATTTTAATTAGCTTTTCCAAAAGAATACAATTATTTAAAAAAAAAATTTTAATAAAATTCTACGAAAGCAATTAATTATTTTTATAAATAAGAAAAATTTCACAGGAATTCAATTATTTATAAATTTCTTCCCAATAATTTCATTATTTTCATAAAATAATAAAATTCTTTTTAGGAATTCAATTATTTTCATAAAAATAATAAAACTCTTTGCAAGACTACAATTATTTTTAAAAAATATAACAAAATTCTTGGCAAGAATTCAATTATTTTCATAAATAATAAACTCATTATATTAAGATTTCAAGTATTGAATTTTTGAGAAGTTAAAAATGATTAAGTACAAAAATTCAATTATTCAATAAATTATTTATTTTTGTATTTAAATAATTGAATTCTTGTAGAACTTTTTAATAAAAATTGATTTCAAAATGAATTTTAGTTAAAATTTTAGATAATAATTTAATATTGAAAGCATTATAGCATGAATATTGAAAGGGTTTCATATTAAAATCATTGAAAATCTTCATTTTTCGTACTTTTAACTAATAATTCTGTAAAATTAATTTTTTTGAAAAAGTTTAATTGAATTTTTTTTTTAAATTATATGAAGTTTTTATTTTCTAATATATATTTAATTCCAAAATTCAATTATTTTCAATAATTTTTAAAAATTCTGTTCAAAATTTCAATTATTTTTTATTAATAATTAAATTCTACACCGAAATTCAATAATTTTCAAAAATTTTAATAAAATCTTGTTAATAATAATGAATAATAATTTAATAAAAATTTAATTAAATAAAATAAAATTTCAAATATTTTCAAAAATTTTCCTCAATTTTAAATAATAATTGAATATTAAAAGTATAATAGCGTGAATTTTTTTTGGAAATAATTGAATCGAAAATTCGTAAAATAAAATTGTAAGCAAATGGATTTGAAAATTCTCAAGCAACGAATTTTTAACTCTTTATTACATTTTTTTTTAAATAATATTGAAAACCTGTAAAGAATTTTATTATTTATGAAAATAATTGAATTCCTGCAACGAAGTCTATTACATTTTTTTTAAATAATTGAATTCTTTCGAGAAATTTTATTAAAATAGTAAATTTTAAAAATATTTAAATTTTAGCAAAGAATTTCATTAATTGTGAAAAATAATTGAATTTTTGCAAAATATTTATGAAAATAATTAAATTTTTCGAGGAATTTATTTAAAATTGTATTAAAAATCATTAAAATCCTATGAAAAATTTGATTATTTATGAAAATAATTGAATTCTTGAATTGAAACGAATTTTATTACATTTTTTTAAATAATTGAATTCATGTGAAAAATGTTATTGCTTGTAAAAATAATTGAATTCTTGCGAAGGATTTTATTGAAATTTTTGTAAATAATTTTTTTTTTTGAAAAATTTTATGAAAATTTAAATTACTATAAAACATGAAGATATCGATTAGGTAAATAAATTATTTTTTATAATTTCTAAAAAAGTAAAATTATTCCTTAAATAATTTCTAAATAATAATTTTGTGATAGTTCTCGAAGAATGAAGTTATTTAAAAAGAAAATATTTGTTAGAAATATAAAAAATTGAAGGTTTTGTATTAGAATTCGTGGCATGTAATTTTATGTGTATATTTTCTAATCTTAAACTAATAATTAAACATTTATAACATTTTTAATATTTCTAACCACTTAATAAATGGTTTTAAATTTAAATTTGAAGCCAAAATAATAAGTATCGTCTTATTAATTTCTCGTTTTCAAAAACGTTGATGTAAATTTGAGTCTTGTAGAGATGTCACTAATTAATTGCGGTTTATTAATGAAAAAATGACTAAAACTCACCTCGAGTACATCCTGAGCTGTTTGCAGGTACTCTCGAAGCATGGCTTCTTGAATGGCACGCCATTCTTGCCTAGGATCTTCGAGCTGTGTGGTTTCTAAGTAAAAATTAAAATTCATCATTAATTGGACATTAATTGGATGAATACTATTAAGTAAAATTAATATAAAGCCTATTAACTCTTTGCCAGAATCAAAAATGGTAGTTCTTAACAAGTTCAGAAATTATGAAAGCAATCTAAGGACATGAAGAAAAAAAACTGTGGTATGTATAGCAGAGGAAGGAAACGAGTAAAACGAATAACGAATGAAATTTAGTGAAAACTATTTTTGGACTGGACGGTCAAGTATCTTCTCTTTAACAAGAGGTGTACAAACCACTTAAAAAGAAAAAAGGTAAAATAAAAAAAGAGAATACTCACGGTTGACATGATTAATGTAGTAGGCACCAACATGTTTGTCATAGGCCTCCTCCCAACCCAATGGAAGTTCATTACCAATGCAGTCTGCAAATGTTTGAGGTTTCGTGAATCTGCAAAAATAAACATCGAAATAATTATAAATTATATCAACATTAGGTAATAGATTATAATTCAAGAATAATGTATTTCTCCTAAAGAAGTAAATATTCATCTAACAATTTTCAAAAGTAATCAAAAGCATTCTTATTAAGTAGTGATTGATTCTTATCAATGAATATCTTCTAATGATTTTTTACAAAAAAAAAACGAAAAGGGGAAAAAAATTACAGATTTTAAAAATCAGGCGCCTTGTCATAATTTTTATTACATAAGGCGCAGAAAAATTATTTTTCCCGTAAAGCGAAAAGTGACCTGGAAAATGTGAACACTCCAGGTGAAAGGAAGCAGTGACATTAGTGGCATTTTCACCCCCCTAAAAAACCGGTGAAAATAGTTTTCGACATTAACTTCAGGATTAGACATTTTTATCAATGTCTCAAGTTGACAAACACAAATTTACTTTTTTCTATCATATTTTTATTAGTTTTTCAACAAAATTAAAAACTTGGTAAACTTTTAGAACTCAATATCTTTCGAAAAAATTTGTTTATAAACAAGATTCAATTTTTATTGAAAAATTCTACAACAATATTCAATTCTTTAAACACAAAAATAGATAATTCATTGAATAATTGAATGTTTTTCTCGAGGAATTCGATTAAAATTATATTAAAAATAATTGAAATTTTGTCAAGAATTTTATTAAATTTTTTGAAAAATAATTGAAAATTTTAATATTCTTAAAGATAATTGAAATTTTGATGAGAAGTTCTTTAAATTTTTGAATATAATTGAATTTCTGCGAAGAATTTTATTATTTTTTAAAGTAATTGAATTTCTTCAATCATTTGCAACTTCTCCAAAATTAAATGTTTTTAGTGTTTTTAACCAAAAATCTTCTATATAAATCCATTATTTTTAATTATTAATTAAACATATATATTAAAAAATTTAAGTAATTTCAGAGGAATTTGAATTATTAAAATTTATTTTTCAAAAATCTAAATTTCTTAAAATTTCTAATTAAATTCATTGAAAATTGAAATTTTCTAAAATTTCAGATTGTAACCTTTTGAAGTTGATCTATTTATGAAAATTGTATACCTAACTTTTTTAAAATTGAGGGACTGGATGCTATAAGGGGATACGCGCCGTTCACTTAAGGGGAGGTTCCCATTGCGGGAGTCAAAAAAATTGATTTCTTTTTTATTGTATTTTTTTAAAGCTATATATATGTAGAATATGTGTGTATAGCGATTTTTTGATCCGAAGAATATTTTCGTTTTTATGAAGTCTTGAACTCACCGCCGTCCCGAGCACTGAGTAACAAATGTCAGGCAAATCGAATCAATTTTTAAAAATTTTGCAAATCTGACCTCAGAATCGTAAAGAGCGACCCTAAATACCTATAGATATTTATCATATACGCAAATTGAACAAAGAATTGCAAAGAATACAATTATTGCACAAAAATGTTTCTCAAACCTTAAACGCGTTTTTCTCGAAACAAGATTTTAAAACTGGTGGGCATCGTAGCGTCTAAACTATTTAATCAATCAACTTCGGGTTTGCGGATAATTAAAGGTAACTAAATTCTACTGGGGTTATACCTATAATATGATAAAATTGTTAACAATAGAGATTTTTACAAGAGATCAAATATGTAAAAATAATGCGAAAACGCAGTTTTTTTAAAAATGTGTCCGCCATTTTGTCATTTTATTAACTTTTTAACTATTTTATAGGTATAACCTATTCTTTAGGATGTCACCTTTATAAAAAATTTTGAGTTTTTGTTTTAGACTAAAAATTGCGCAGTGTAGAATGCCCACCGTTTTCCCTATTTAAAAAAACATTATTTTCTAGATGCGCCATATTGGCCGCCATTTTGCATTTTTTTGAAAATGAAATATATATTTTAAAAGTTCAAGAATGTATCTTTATTTAGAAAAAAAAATTACATCGTTAAGTCATAGCCGTTCCTCGCAAAAAATTGTCAAAGTTTGTGTTTATTTTGGCCCCCGCAATGAGAACCTCCCCTTAACATGGCACGTATCCCCTTATAGCATCCAGCCCCTCAATTGAATTAATTTTGAAATATTTAAGTAAAATTATTCATTAAATAATTTCTAAGTAATAATAATAAGAAGAAAGAAAAACGAAGACTAAGTAATAATTTTATGATAATTATTCAAGAATTAAGTTATTTAAAAACGTTTAAAAAAATTATTGTCAGAAATGGAAACAATTGAAGGTTTTCTATTAGAATTCATAGTATTTTCATAGTTTATGAGGCAAACAAAAAAAACAAAAAAATTTAGAATTTTCTCATAAATTTCAAAAATTTAATTTATCCAGTAGTTTTAATAAAAATCCCTGATATTTCCCTGACCAATTCTACTTTCCCTGACTTCCCTGACCTGTGGCAACCATGTAATTCAAATTTAGAGAGTAGATAATTGCTATGTGTAAACTTTAAATATTAAAAAATTTTTTAAATATAAATCTAAAGGGCAATATTTTAATTTTAGTTTTAAAAAACAATTCGTAAAATGCCCTGAATATGATTTGAGTCGAGAGCAGAAGGCGTTATAATGTTCTCCTTAGCGTCCAAAACAAAGAGGATGTTTTGTAAATTTTCGTGGATGTGTGTTGCCTTGACATACACGTAGAGCCTGCGCTCTTCGCTCCGGCTGCACGTTATCACGATAGCTCCAGACTGAAAAGTACATTTTAATGCATGACTGTGCATATAAAAGGGCGCAAGCAAGCAATCGTCTTTGCAGGGAGGGTCGTGCGTGCTGGAATGTCAAGGCAAGGAAGCGGGAAAGCAAAAAGACAAGAAGCCAAGCACGGATGGAGACGCCACTATGCCGCGCCGATGCGATGGGATGCGATGCGATGCCATACGATGCCATACGATGCCATGCTAATTACCAAATCATTTCATTTCTCTCACATATCAAAATCTTTCTTCAATTTCCACTTTTAGTTCAACCTGCTTCCTCTGCCTTTGAGTTGACGAATGCCAACGAAAAAAACAGAATTTAGCAGATGTCTAAACATAGCAGGTGGTATGAAAAACTTTTTCAATCGCAGCCTACATTCCTTAAATACTCCGCATATTTTCTCCGTCTTTGAGAAAAAAAATATTTCAACAACCTATGACTAGAAGCAGAAAATAAATCAATTTTTTATTTCACTCTGTTGTACAGGGTTGCCACAAAAATTCTATTTTCTTTTTCCCTAATTTTCAAATAAAATTTTGACTTTTTCCTTGACCCTCAAAAATATTTTGATATTCACTCCAAAAATTATTGAAAACTCAAAAAAATGTTCCATTACATTTATTTACGAATTTTTTAAATTGTAAAATTATTCGAAAACTCCAGTAACTAAGATTTTCAAAATTTCAAATTCAAACCTTTTAAAATTCAATAACTGATAAAAATATTATTGTAAAACATAAAGATGACCGACTGACAAAATCATTATTTTATTATTACAAGAATATTATTACTGTAACTTTTTCAAAATTATTATCATCATTTTAATTCAATTATTATTTTCTACAATTTTTAACTAATTAAGGAGCAAATTTTCAAAACTTGATAAATCCATATTTTCTTATTTCGAGAAATTGAAACAAAATGTTTCAATTAATCAATTTATTTCAATTTATCAATTTATTTTTATAACAATGCTTTTATATTTAAAACATTCTGTTTTTAATTAAACATTATCATAATTAAGTGATTTAAAGGTTTTGGTAATTTTTTTCTAATAAAAAACATAAAAATTATCAGTCATCTTGGTTGTGTCAAAAAGTTTTTAAATTGAAAATTCGTTATCAATTAGCTTTTGAAAACTTGAAAAATAAATTATTTTTAATAATTTATTTATATTAAATATACATTAGAAGATGAAAACTTGAAATAATTTTTAAAAATTTCGATTAAGCAATTTGAAAAAAACTAGTTTCACAGAATTTTTAATTAAAAATATCAAAAAAATTCAAATTTTCAAAGATTTTAATTTGATACCTTTACAAAATTCAATTATTTCTAAAAATTGGAATTATGGGTAAATTTTCCAAAATTCAATTATTACCTAATAATGTTTAACTCAAATTCATTTTTAAATAAATTTTAATTAGAAAATTCTACGAGAATTTAATTACTTAAATACAAAAATTAATAATTTATTGAATTATTGCGAAGAATTTTATTAACAAGTTTCAAACAGTTGATTTTAAAAAAATTATGCAAATTCTATTTTTATTTTTTAATCATTGAATTCCTGTAAAATTTTCATTATTTTAGAAAATAATTGAATATTCGTGCAGAACTTTGTCAAAAATGTTTTTAAATAATTGAATTTTTCGGGAAATTATATTAAAATAAAAGATATACAAATTATTGAATTAAGAAAACTTTTTGTAAATAATTGAAATTTTGCAATGAATTTCATTAAAAATTTTAGAAAATAATTGAATTTTATTACTTATTTGAAAGTAATTGAATTCCTCCGAATGATTTTATTTATTATTTCTGAAAATAATTAAATCCCTGAATAGAGTTTTAAAATTTATGAAAATAATTGAATTACTGCGAAGAATTTACTGACAAATTTTAAAACACTTGATTTTATCAAAAAATTTTTTGTAAATTCTATTTTGAATAATTGAATTCCTGTGAAATTTTTATTTTTTTGGAAAATAATTGAATATTTGTGTAGAATATTTTCAAAATTTTTGTTTAATAATTGGATTCTTTTGGGAAATTTTATTAAAATAGTAGAATATTGAAAATAATTGAATTAAGAAAACTTTTTGAAAAAACCTAAAATTTATTTTAAAAATTTAGCAATTTTTTTCAATAATAAGAAAAGAGCATTTACAAAATCACCAGAGAAAGTATATAATATGTGAAATAAAAAATGCATTTATCAATAATAAACAATTGATATGAAATAAGTAATATCGCTAGTAAAAATTGTTATTTATCTTTAA